TATATATCAGGTACTTAGATATGCAGAACATATGTGGAGGGTTAGATTGATCAGAAAATTCAATGAAATACGGAAACTTGTGAGCGGAGACAATCGGTCTGTCTTTGATTGCAGGCACGTGAGGATGCGAATACAAACATTTTGGGATGCGACCTTGGCACAGTGTAGCACCCTGAACGTTCATTGTGGCGTTTGATGTTGATATATGTCGTAAGTCGTAGATCTGATGGTCTGAATTGATGAACAACCTTAACTTTAACTGACACTCAGTCAAATGCTAGTCCTCTTTGCAATTCTATCGTTGTCGCTCCTCGGCTCTTTGTTAGTGTGACTTCCTGAGGATTCGGTGCCGTCCAAATCACCGAACAGCTACTAAACAGCTCCAGCTTAATAGAAGGAATGTGTGCTGCTCATTGTTTTTGCGACCAAAGACATTCGGACACATTCTATTGTGTTGATGCTTGATATCCAATGCGCCCACTATTTTTCGGTGACGACGTAGTAAGATTGATTAATCCAAGATTTTCATCGTCTATATCGTGATCTGTACCACCCGGCCGTATTAAGCACGAGTTATGCCCCGTGTGATCGAGCATTGTGGGCGTTGGCACTATATTAGGCTATTTGGAGTATTGGCACTAGACTATGTTACTTGAGAATTGTAGGCAGGGTTTGCCGCCAGAGTGCTGCCGTTTAAGCCTCCCTGTATAACTGGGCTGGTTGTTGTTTGGTAAACTCAGAGTGAACACACCAGGGAAGGTGAATGCACCTTTCAACGTCGTGTATATGCTTGAAACTGACGTGGTCTACACCTGCTATGCACTCTTCCCTTATCGTTGCATGCATCCTTAGCGTTGAAGTCGTCTTCGCTTGCTATGTACAATCGCCGGAACTGCTGAGTGTGCGACAACATGTAAGCCGCCGAAGACCTTTGCGAGATTATCCGTTACGCTTTTACACATGAGTTTTCTTTATCCCGATTACAGAACCTTAGAAATACGGAGGCTGCACTCATCGACTGTGAAAGCGTGTATAGGACTGCACCCAACGGAAGCTAATCTCGAAATACTGCCCGATGTTTTGGCTCTGATTCGTAAGAATGCCCACGACTTGGTTGGAATTGGTGAGTGTGGTCTAGACTTTACACCTAAGGTAAGTGCTGTAACCGTTAGTACAGCTACATTGTCGGGTATTTTTATCAGTGATTATCATGCGTGTATGCATCACGGATCACGATTGCCCTGTACTTGGGAGCACAATATATATTTCTACTGTGGTATGTCTTTGGTGCCATATCTACGTACTCACACCCTCGATGTGTTTCTGGCCGTATCGCAGGTACTAGGTAATGACGGTGATAAGGTCAAACAAATACAGCGACATGTCTTTGCTGCTCAAGCTGCGCTGTCCGTGGAACTGGATCTGCCGCTGAATGTACACAGCAGGTGTGCAGGTCACCATGCCATCTCGCTGTTGAAGGAGGTGATGTGACGTATTTGAAAGTGCGCTTTATCCCGTGATCTGAGCGAAGTAAGACGTTTCAATTGCTGATATTTCCACTGCAGTGCATCCGAAAAGTCTACAATTGTTCCTCGACGTCAATAATAGGCGATGGCTCTTTCGGTTTGCTTACTACGGCCTTAGCCGACGATGGATTAGTTTGTACTACATTACTGCCACTGCTCACAACCGAATCACTTGTAGGCCGGAGTCAAAAGATGTGTACTGCACGCATTCGACGGGAAGCCAAAGTATGCACGACAAGCTGCTGAGAGTATGGGCTACTTTTTCTCTATTCCGCCGTCAGCAGTGAGGTAGGTACGTGTGTATGTATGTCTATATGGATGTATGTATATAAGTATGTACATATGTATATATTTACATACATACAGATACATACAAACATATAATTATCCGAGTGACGTGTTATTAGTACATGTCGATCAGGCCCGATGTTGTATTTGTCGTATTGAATGCCAGTCACGATTATTGTTGTTGAAATTGCTTTCGTATGAGGCTGTTTAACTTAAGTTTGTCGACTAGCAGCTACATTTGGAATAATCAGCATGCTACATTGTTCACTCAATCGTGCCATGTATCTATTTTGCAAACTGGAAATTGTCCGCTTGTTTGTGATGCTGTTCTGTATGCCCACGTTTGTCCACGTGCCCACCCCATCATTCATCACCAATGAACTACAATATAAAAATAGAACAACTCTTATCCCATGCAAGGTCCCCTGAGAAAAGGAAGCTAATCAGTCAGCTTCCTTTGAGCAGTCTGCTGATCGAAACAGATTCTCCAGCTCTCGGGCCAACAAGTAAAGACCGCAATGTACCCAGCAATGCCGTGATTGCTTGCCAGGTACGTATTCCGCTTCCGGCGATAGGGGTCGACCATTTTGTCTGCGTACCACACCCACTCTTGACAGAGTGGCAACATTGACATATCCAAAAGATACTTCGCAGGGTTCGGGTTATTCTTACGCTTAGGCTCGGGTACTTTGGATCGCCACAAACTGTCTTACAACCGTGTAGGGCATGAACTCACGCAATCCTGAAACTTGAGGCCATCCATGTTAGTACTGAAGTGTGTATTTTTTTTTCGTTCTGAAATTGAACCAAGTCCAAAGAGAGCTGATGCTCTGGCTTAATGGTAAATCTTCCATTGACAACTCTCATACTTTGCTATTGATCGTGACTTATTACGCAGGTGATCTCAGAAGTTAAAGGCATTTCTGCAGAGGAGGTGGCACATACAACCACCGAGAATGCAACCAAATTATTTAAGCTCTCGTTTTGAGCCGCACTGGACGTTTAGGTCCATTTTAAATTTACCAGTTGGTACACCAAAAGTTGGAACTGCATTTGACATTCTAGATATTTTTTCGAAATATTCTATCAAGTTGATATCAGGAAAGTCTTTTTCGAGACTCAGTCACCTGTTGTCACCATAACACGACATGAATAGCATAAAGCATATGGTCTGGGAGCGTACTGAATGTTAAATTGAGAAGCGTAAGACGATAGATTCTTAGTAAGCGAATACATTGTCGTTATAGTAGATGTACAAGGTGTACATGTTGCTCCAAAAGTACAACTGTTTTGTTGCGTAGTTTCAATTAAAATCACCAAGACACATAGATGTATACAAGAATAACCAACCTAGATGCTTAGTCAATTCGAAATATCTTAATTTGGGAAAGTCTTGCTCTGTACAAACTACACGCCTCGTCCAAAAAAAACTACAAGAATGCACAGAAGTCGTAAAATGAAGCGGATTTTCGACACACGATGCAGTACGGTAAAAAGCTGCACATAATTAATCGTTTATTCACGACTACTGAATTCGTGCAGAGATATCGACAAATCATCCCCCGACCACTGCGTATTCATAGGCTTGGGTTTAGCAATGTAAATACTTACTTGAAACTTCAAATACCTTCCGACTTGCACTATGCCATATATGGTACATAGTATTTGAAGTCTAAGCCTTCGTGCCATGTGTCAATTACTAATTTATTTGCAAGGTACATGCAATATGCGCCGATCCGCACAAATGCCGAATCAGAACGATTTGTGAATCAGCAAACCATAGCACCCGACAAGGAAACGCGTCTGCCTATGCTCAAACGAATGCTTGTTATTCCGGTACCGATAGATTTTATCCCAATATTATCGATGTACATTGCCTGATGCATATGGGTTTATTGTCGCTTTTGTCTAAATATTCGAATAAATGGAAATATGCTATACACGGCATGTATATTGTATATATGCTATACAAGCAGATAGAGATATATATTCTTAAATATAATTATACTATTCTTCCTGGCACATGCATGCCATATTTGTAGTGATATGCATGTATAAATTCAATATATGTGTGCATTTATACACCTGTTTGCTCCTATGTTGTTTCCATCTATTTAGATGGATATGAGTGACATACCATACTACAAGTATTCGACCATTTGAGTAAGAAGATCTACGCAAGATCTGTTGCACCACTTGCAAACACCATATTCATCGAGACAGGGCCTGCACAACCACAGCTTGGCTCGTGTTCAAACGGCCTGTGAACAGACGTCTATCCTAACACTGTCATGCCTAACGGTGTCTGTGCGGATCACACCAGATTTGTACTCTCTATTGGTGGGGATTTACTAGGCCTAAGCGGCATACGTGATCGTGGTCATCAGAGCTACACTCATAAATGCTACTAATTGCAGGTTTACAAGGCTTCCATTATGGCCGACAAATCTTCGCGCCCGTCCTTTTATCTTGATCCGAACGGTATCTTTGCCACGTGACCGAGTTGAAGCTAGGCATATCGATGTACTGATGTCTAAGAGAGTCGGAAGGAGCAGGATAAAAGTTTTTGAGTATAAAGGCGAGTGTGCTTGAAATACCGATAGATACTCTGTCTCCGTTTACAACCGTTCCATTGTATAGTATGCCATTCGCATAAATCTTTTCCCGTCACATCAGTGTAAAACAAGACAGCTACAATTGCCTTTGAAACGACATAAATTACCTTTGTTTCCAGAAATAATGATCGTTCGTTTGAGCTTTGCTTTCATTGTTCTCGAACGAGTTCTTCTCTTCCTGATTATACCACGCGTAGTATGGGGATTCCGTGTAGCTATATAGAGCACTATGAGTTTGACGGAAGGTGGTGGAACTGTCAGCATCAAGGGATATATATTCTAAACTGAGTCATATCTGAGCGAATAAATGGTATCAAGTTCTGTCAGAATTTGATAGAATCTGGACAGTTGTAGTTATGAATGCTTACTTACCTGTATGTCTCCTTTGAATGCTTGTACGGATGCAACTCGATTAGCGAAGTGTTTGGAGACATGATAATGTTTACCAGTCCAGCACCATGCATACCGATGACGACTTCGTATTCTCGCGACACAAGCTTCTGCTCCAATAGATCTTGCCCGGAGAAGTCGTGCTGCAGGGTATATATTAAATGTGACGTTAGTCGCAGAAAGTGACTACTAGGACATCACTATTATGAGAGGGTCTTGTTCTAATCTATAGTGGCCATAATTGAATTGTGATCTGCGTCGGCAACAGCTATAGAGGTATCTCACTTCATAATCCGGCAATCAAAGCAAATATAAAAACAGACATATCGCATGCAAGCACTGAATACCATTGTGACCTTGTACCCTTCTGATTCTAGAAACTCTACAACCTCATCGCGGTTTTTGATTTGCCGAGTACTCTGCGTATAGACATAAAATAGGTATGGTGATTAGTATCATAGTAAGGCACAATCGCGGCAACAACATGCACTAGAAACCGATAGCAGCTTCGCTGAAAAATGGTTCTACATACCCCACGGATTATCAGCAGCGCTGTACATGGTTTTGGCTTGACGTCACCATGTATCCTAGTGAATTCAGAGATTACCCTGCAGATGATAAAATTGGATACTCCCCTTAGATGGTATCTAAGATGGTCCGCAAATGCTTGTAAGTGTGCTCAAGCCGATGTAAATTCATAGCATGAAGATATCCGCAGAGACTTACCTGGGCATGATATGTTGTAGCCGGAGGTGAGAATCTGGGTACTTTCGACTTGTTTGCGCGATGGTAATGTTGTCTCGGGTTCGTAGAATAGGAAAGTATGACCCTCCAGCACCCACAACTGATTGGTCGAAGCAGGTAGCGTGCCCTCTGCAGTGATGTGGGTGATAATAGTCGATACATTTAACTACATATTATGTTATGCTTCGATTCTGATAGAAACACTTGTCATTTTTTGTGTGTCAGAATCTCAAGCCACACACGCCAATGTGTTTGGATGCAATTAAAAACAGAGGAGACATACTTTGGGTTCATCCATGTGCCGGAGTATGAGATATGATACATTTTAGGGTCGAAGAATGGAAGCAAATGGGCCTTCTCCCTTTCACTTTGGGGTGCCTCGTCTTTCATGATAACGATCTCAACTCGTCGTTCAGGTGGCCACAATCCCGCCTAGTTAGCCATTATTTTGCTCCATTTAGTCGTCATGATATAATAACTGCCGCAGATGTTTGAAACACATAAAATCAAAAGTATCATCGGATCCAGAAAAAACAGGTTCACACTCAAAATGCTGCAAAAACTCACCAGATCCAGCGCATCATAGATACCCACTACAGTCAGAACGCGGGACAGCTGGTTTCTACTATTGTTATTAATAAAAATCACCGGGCGAGTAAACTTTCTGACGGTGTTCTCTTTCTCGATCTCCTCCGGATCTAATCCCTGAGTCATCCGCCTGCATCGTAAATTAAGACAGCGATTCGTAACTTTACTCTTCTACGAAGACAGCGAAAACACAAATACCAGTACAGCAACCCCCTTGACTGACCATGACACCCACAATTTCAAATGTACAAGTAACTGGTGTGAGATTTGAGATTGCGAATGCTTCAAGCAGGAGGCGCTACTTACCAACTGCAGAAGGTTCCATCTGCGACTCGTCCCATTGAATACAACGCCAACGGTGGAAATTCCTTCAAAGTTGAATTGTAGCCGTAGAATCTACAAGGAACGTAGAATGCAGAGTTTAGATATCAGTCAGAATATCAAGTCGATTCATCGATCTCGAGCTATGAGCTTATATTTTGCACAAGAATGACGGTCGTACAATTACCTGCCTCCCTGTACGCATAGATTCTTGAATGCACACACTCGATCTAGCATGTTCAAAGGGATGTTCTGCTTCTCAATCTTGGAGCTCTGCGTCAGAAAACATTTTGCAGACACAGATTCTGCCAGACAAAAGGTAAATTTTAGCATTATTAGTAGCGTGTTGGAATGAATTTTAGCACGATTCTTTATTGCTCTAAGTCTGTAAACGAAATTTTCCTGACGTACAGAACATATTAGTACTTAAATACGCACGTTCAAATTCACTAAATGGTAGAGCACCATTCATTCATTTTCAATAGATGACAATGTATAATGATGACATGAAAGACAATATTCTCAAAAGATGCTTACAATGAAGCGTGCTTGTCTCTAGACTGTGTATCCCTCGCAAAAACAATATGAACTAGTGGCTGTGCATAACCCTGCACATGGTCTAGTATCGTCGAATGTCATCAGTGAAGCGTTCCAGTTACAGGTAATTATCACCTTGTTACGCACATGATACTTCAGGATCTAGCTGCACTATTGCTTTGTATCTCCATCTTAAAACTTATACTTAGCACCGATGATCAATTATGCTATGCAGCGCGTTTTCTCGTGTTGGCATGGAGCGTACTGCACATCTAAACTAAACATACCTATAGGAGGATTCACACCCCACTTTTCGAACTCTTTTCGGTTCATGGGGTGAACGAAATCAAGCGCATTTGGTCTTCCTATTCTTTCGTACGTAAGTCGCGTGCAAGTATCTTTCCCATATAACTTCTGTATGTGACATCGAGAGTATAAAGAACAATTTAAGCACACACGCATACGTCGAAGCTGCTGTCAGGCGCATATAATTCTGTAATCCATCGAAAGTTGAAAGGTGCTGAAAAGCTTTCATACCTCTCGGTGCAGCTCAATGCCCAAAGCTGTGTAGTTAAAGACGGTTTCGCTTTCATATGATGATTGTCTGTGATTCGAACAGAAAATGATATCGAGAGCTGAGTAACCAATTGCAAAAGTAGAGCAGAGTAAAATCGATGTTTCTCACCTCTGTTTGAGGTCCATCATCAATAGATGTGTTTAAGGAGCTTTAATACTTTCCAAGGAAGCAGATACTCTATCAATGCTGCGCAAAATATACTCACAAAGCCTCGATTAGAAATCAAAGCAACCTCGCGCGCAAGGCTTCTACAGGCATATTCAAATTGCAGTCCGCCTGATTTTCCTACCGTTGGTAATGCTCGCCGCGCGCATATTTCGAACGAACTCGTAGCGCACCACCTCCCTCTATCATATTCGCCGTGGTATCATCCAACTGGGTTAAGTCCTTGAACGCGTTTCCCTGTTCTGCTGTATCTGCATCGCTATTCGCATGTGCCTTACTCTTTCGCTTCTTTTTTCTGTGCTTTTTGGTATTTTGGGTGTTACCTTCATCACTATCTACGTCGTGGTTCGTCTCATCTTCTCGATGTGCCTTTCGTTCATTTAACAGCGCGTGTACCTCTTCAGCGTCGGGTAAAGGCGCGGCGTTTTCTACCACTACGACTCTGTGGGGTCGTTTCTCTGTAGGAGCTTCTTCCTTTTCCATGGCTTGCTTGACTTTCAGTTTCTTTTGGAATGCACGGGTGCGTTGAGCGTTATCATTCTCGTTTTCACTTTCAGAGTCATCTTCCTCATCATTGTCCGTACTACTCTCATCACTGTCTTTGTTATTGTGAGTGGTCAGATCGCCATCACGATTGGCTTGGTCAGCCCTGCGTGCGTTTTCCTTCAAGCTTCCACTTGCTGCGTGTTTCTCCTTGTCGTCATCATCATCATTTTCTCCCTCGTTCTTTTTCTCCGTATCATCTTCGTCTTCTCTCTCATTGTCTTCTTCCGTATCATCATTATTTTCTTTGGTGGTCGGACCATCAGCGCCGTCATCCGATGTGTTTTGGCTATCCTCTGAATCATACTTTTCTCTCTCAGTTTTGCCTTCTTCATCCTCACTCTCCTCCACGTCGTCATTGTTTGCTGCGGCTGTCACCTTATTACTTCCTAAAACCAGTGTGTCGCTCCGGACACTTTCGTCCCGTTGCAATACATCGTACTGATGATCTCCTGATGGATTGTCATTTACATCAAAACGGTTGGTCCGCTGGCTGTTGGACTCGCTGGAATCCGCACGATCTGGAAACATCTTTTCGAAAGATGCGCCGAATTGCTCTTCTACTTGCTCACCAACTGATCAGACGGGACAATAAGGAATTTGTACAGCATGGTTAGACACATCAGATAGCCCTATATTAGTGCAAACTTTAGCCCAAGTGAGCTTCGGAAAATACAGCCGACTTATTCAAGGGGGCAGGGGGGGCTAGAAAAAATATTACCTATAGAAATCTTCGAAGCCGTTTGCTGGTAAGCATCCTGGGCGAGATCCACAAATTCATCATACAAACCTCCTGTTCTAAGCTCTCTCGTTGCTCCACTTTCACTCACGGCGCCTGCCCGTGGGTTATAAGCAATTATGTGGCTTTAAAGTAAGAAATCTTATAGATTGGTTCATGCAACCAGACATGGTCTTAGTGAAGGTGCTGAAAAATAAAATAAGCATACTACAGTTTAGTAGATTGGCAAAACGAAGTATGCCTAGGGTAGGCCACGCAGTCGGCATTTGCAGATAGACTCATTCACTGCTCACGTTGAGCGCATGCTAATAACAAAGTAAATATCTATGAGAGTGATAGTAAAACCTCTGCGCTCGCGATGATCACGAATAAGCCTAATTATGTAAAGATGTGAGCTCCCAGTATATCTAATAACGTTGAATCGCAGACTAGAACACGGACCGATATAATTGGATTATTTACACCCATCAGGCATGGCACGAGCAGCTTTCTATCTGCAAACGCGTGAACATCGTACATAGGTTTCTTTATAGCAAAGTTTGTTCCATTTTTGTCAGAAGGCTTTTACATTGCACTGGTCATTGATGTGGGTATCGCACGACACTATGATTCAATTCTATTTCAGGTAAAGATGGGAACATCTTTATACTCTGCATAGTAATACACATCGGGATACAACATGATGTGCGCAATCTACACAAATATTCGCTCAAAAAATGAATCGTAGTCTTGTAAATACGGAACGCGTAGCAATAGCTCATATGAGAGATCTGACTGTAATACTAGATCAAAATACTGTTCCTAAATACTGCCTGCGCGGATATTGTCGTCAATGCATTGCAATTGGGTTATCAATTGTACCTATATGTGACAATGCGGAAAAATACATACCTTGAATGTAGCAATCGTTGCCTGCAATTATATATATCAAATGTGCTCATATACACACAGAAAATTTTAGACAGAAATATCATGCACTAGTATTTAAACATCGATGGAAAACTTTTACTTCCGCGAATTTGATATGACTTCAGAGGCAGTAGTGTTAGTATATGCTGCATCGATATAAACCCTTATATATACGTATACATCACCAAATACACACACACACACACGCCCATATATATATATATATATATACTATATATATATATATACTATATATACATATTATTATATATATATATATATATATATATATATATATATATATATATATATATA